ACTGGGAAAAGGAGTTGGATGATTAACAGAAATGTTGGGTAAAGTGGGAAACCATAAAATTTGATTACTACCATAAACATTAACTTAAAATGCACATTTGAACATACAATTTCTTTCTCTGTCAATATATTCACATAAGGCCTTTCCTTTGAATGTGGATCAGTTTGGGGTTCCAGTTCGTCTTTCTTGGATGAAGAACATCACTTACATCTATGAATTCTAATTCCTATTTCTTTAAAGTATAATAAACTTAAAGATACTTGTGAGGCAACCTGGGTATGAATTCCAGGTAAGATTTTTACTCTGTGTTGTCATGTAATCTAATCGTTTTCTTACTCACGGTAATTTCATAACATTTTTAAGAGTCCTTCCAAAGCATTCAACTTGGTTTTAACAGAAATAAGTCTCTTTTATGTATGTATATTTCTTAAGTTTACATAACATTTAAATAAATTATATAGTCACAACAGTGAGTATAACTTACACCAATGGCTTGGGTACAAATAAGTTACCCTTAGTAAGCATGCACCTCACCAGGTGGAAGCAGAAGTACAAAAGCATTCCAGAAAATGCATATAAGCCAAGAGTATTTAGTGTGCTGTAGGTATGGTATCCATCATTTATGAAGGGAATGAAGGATGTCAGAAAGTTGATTGTGTGACTGCTGCTTTAGAGGGTTATACACTTTCAGAATCTGAAACCAACTCCACTGTTTTTTTTCCTTAAGGGAAGATGCTGTTGAGAGATGAAAAAACATGGTTTGAGAGAGGTGTGGGGAATGGGGAGCATGCCAGCCCTTCCTGCTTACCCCATGAGTGTGGGGGTGGGATTTGTATGTGTGTACATGTCCATGCGTGTGTGTGTGTGTGTGTTGGGGGAAGGGGGATTTTGAGTCACAGAAGGGCACAAGAAGTGACTGTTATTGTATAGGCTTCACTAGGAACTCCAAGCTTTAATTATGCCAGTGAGCGGCAGAAATGATTAAATAAGAAGAAGCAGTAAACTCTGTTCACAGTATAATAATGGGTATAATACAGTTAATAAGGGCAGGAGAAAGACTGAAGATAAAGCTGTGGGTACAGGAAGAAGGAAGAAAAAGGAGGGGACTGTGGCTCAGGGTCAAAATTGTGACTAAAAGGGACAAAGCAAACAGGAGGCTATGAGGTAGACGTTGGCATAAACTTCCAGTGTTTTCTTTCAAATACGTATTAAACTATTCTTCATATAATCTTCAGCTACTTTTTGGTACAAAACTTCTGACCCTAAGAGGAGTGATGCAAAAGCATATAAGAATAATTCCAGACCTTTAGAAATTGACACCCTAGTTAGAGAGAGACAAATAGGCCAGGCACAGTGGCTCATGCCTGTAATCCCAGCACTTTGGGAGGCTGAGGTGGGAGGATCACCTGAGGTCAGGAGTTCAAGACCATGGTGAAACCTCATCTCTACAAAAATACAAAAATTAGCTGGGCATGATGGCAGGTGCCTGTAATTCCAGCTACTTGGGAGGCTAAGGCAGGAGAATTGCTTGAACTCAGCAGGCAGAGGTTGCAGTGAGCCAAGATCGCGCCATTGCACTCCAGCCTGGGCAACACAGCGAGATTCCGTCTCAAAAAAAAAAAAAGTACAAATAATGACAAGGCCGGGTAATATGTACTAAATATGAGAGAAGAGAAACACAGAGAGTAAGTGCCATAAAACGATAGATTCTTTCCATGTTAAAAGTCAAGTCACAGTCGATTCCTCCTCACATTCTCTTATGATACCTCTGACTCACTTTAGCACCACTTAATCTCTCTGTTCTATAGAAGTGATAACAGTTTCATAAAACTCCCTGTTACTTATCTGGTTGCATTTGTTCTTGGTTAAAAGCTCCCTAAAAATTAGTGAAAGACTTTATTTGTGGAGAGACAATAAGATGATGAAAACAAGTGTTTTTAAAACTTCATTGATATGGTTTGGCTCTGCACCCTCACCCAAATCTCATGTTGAATAGCGATCCTGAGTGTTGGTGGTGGGGCCTGGTGGGAGGTGATTGGATCATGGGGGGCAGAGTTCCCTCTTGCTGTTCTCATGATAGTGAGTTCCCATGAGATCTGGTTGTTTAAAAGTGTGTAGCACTTTCCCCTTCGCTTGCTCTCTCCTGCCACCAAGTGAAGACGTGCTTACTTCCCCTCCACCCTTCTGCCATGATTGTAAGTTTCCTGAGGCCTCCCCAGCCATGCAGAACTGTAAATCAATCAAACCTCTTTTGTTTATAAATTACCCAGTCTCAGGTAGTTCTTTATAGCAACATGAGAACAGACTAATACGTTTACCGTGAAGAATTCCAAACACATACCCAAGTACAGAGCATAGTATAATGAACCCCATGTGCCCATCAACAACCTCAAGAATTTTCAACAAATGCCCAGTCCTTTTCACTCCCTTCCCTGTGCATAACTTTTAAGCAAATCTCACATCATTTCATATCATGTGTAAATATTTTAAAATACCTCTCTCAAAGCTAGTACTCCTTTATAAAAACACCACCAAATACCAATATCACACTTAAAAAGTTAACATATTTTTAATGTCAAATATCCAGTGTTCAAATTTCCAACTGTCTTATAAAAGCCTGAAATGACTTTTAAAAATATTTTATAATTTATGCCAGAAACAAAATAAAGGCACCAACCTATTATAGAATCAATGGCGTAAATGGGAAGCCAAATGATGTGTCTGACACCCAAGGACTATCTGCTGCTAGTAAACCTGTCTACAGCCTTTACTGTGTACTAGCATCGCTTTAGGAGTTCTACAAAAATGAATTTATTTAACGCTACAATATAGGTGAATTATCAAGAGCATCATTTTACAGATGAAGAATGTAAGCCCCAAAGAGGTTACTTAACCGAGTCTAAGATCACCCAGCTAACATGAAGAGAAAAATAAAATGTGTTATATTCATACGATGGAATATTTTTCAGCCATAAAAAGGAATAAAGTACTGAAAGATACTACAATGTCAATGACCCTTGAAAATGTTATGCTGAGTGAAAGAAGCCAGTTACCAAAGACCATATATTATATTGCTTTGTTTATATGAAATGCCTATAATAGGAAAATCTATACAGAGTCAGAAAGTAGATTAGTGGTTGTCTAGGGCTAGACAGAAGGGTAGAAGGCAGTGACTGCTAACGGGTCCAGGGTTTCTTTCTGGGGTGATGAAAATGTTCTACAGGCCTGGCGTGGTAGCTCATGCCTGTAATCCCAGCACTTTGGGAGGCCAAGGCGGGTGGATCACGAGGTCAGGAGATCGAGACCATCCTGGCCAACATGGTGAAACCCCATCTCTACTAAAAATACAAAAATTAGCCAGGCATGGTGGCGTGCGCCTGTAATCCCAGCTACTCGGGAGGCTGAGGCAGGAGAATCGCTTGAACCCGAAGGGCGGAGCTTGCAGTGAGCCGAGATCGCGCCACTGCACTCCAGCCTGGGCCTCAGAGACTCCATCTCAAAAAAAAAACAAGAAAGAAAAAAAAAAGAAAATGTTCTACAATTGGATTGTAGTGATGGTTGCACAACTCTGTGAATACACTAAAAACCACTGAATTGAGCATTTTAAATGGGTGAAGTTTACCATATGAGATTATATTTCAATAAAGCTGTTTTTAAAAGTATATTTTCAAAAGATTTAAAATGTATCAAACCAAGGAATATTTATTAATCACCTACACAAGCACTACACTTGGTTCTATGCAAGTTATAAAACAAATGTAAGACACAAACCCTGACCTCAAATTGGTTACAGTTCAAGAGAAAAGGCACACATACCATATATCACAATGCACTTTTGCTTTCTAAATTATGCCTTTTTCTCAAAGGGGTAATCAACTGTCTGAACCAAGTTTTCTGTTTCATAAAAGGCACTGAGCTAGGGCCTAATGAACATACAAGCTATGATAAGACTGACCCTTTCCTCCTTGCCCCTGGAGGCCTTTGGAGGTTCTGATGAACCACAAAGTTATCTTGTGAGAGAGCAACCAATAGGATTCCTAGAGAGCTGAGGCTGGGCTGATTCACCTTATAACTGAAATAACGTGAGTAAATGTGTTGTGACTCAACAAAGGCCAGCGCAGCTTGACAATCCTAGGCTAAGCTAAAACCAACAGGTCTGGTCCTCCTCCCTGGGTTTAGGAATGCCCACGGTAAACAAATTGCAGAGGTTTTCCTTTGCCATGGCTGCTGAGGAGCAACAAAGATCCTTGATGGAGATCAGAGAGAACTGCACCCATGAAACTTGTGAGGTGAGTGTTTAGAGAAGTGAGATAAAGGCTAACACAGGAGATATAATCTGCAGAAAGGGACAATTTGGGGATATGAGGTTGCACAAAGTAACCGTAACACTGAAGAAAACTGAAGAGGTACCTGGTGGATCGCTCACAACCAGGAAGGTTTCTTGGAGACAGCATTGATCTTAAATGAATAAATAATGAAGAAACTGCTGTTCAAATTCAAAGTGCCTGGGTACCAGGGACTTACAGATATAGGGCTTGGTTCTTCCCAGAGGATACTGGAACAATGTCTAGCTTAATGTCCAATGAACCCATGAAACTTACATGCCACATAAATTCTAAAGCCAGATGTGAACAACAGAAAGATGTTTAAATTTTATAGACATGTGAATTCAACCTAATTTTATGACAAGAATTTGGATTCTCTGAAATTTTCAGATAACAGTGGCACTCAGAGTCTTACTTAAAGGTTTACTGTTTGAGACAGAACTACAAATGAAACTCTAATCAATAAAGTAGAAACTCACATTTTGAGCATTACCAATTATGCATCTTTCCTGAACTGCCTAGAAAGAACATTTCATCTGGATCAGGTGGCTTGGGCCCAGAGTGACCTGATGAATCAGCAGACTGCACTGCAAAATAACCCTATAGACAAGTTGCCTCAAATAAACCACGATCCGATTTGTAATGTAATCGATACCATTACAACGGTCTCCTTACCTTTCACCACATCCGCCACATTACAGGTGGGATCGATACTTCCTATGTGTTTAGGATGAACAGGATTAGTGTCACCCCCAAACAGAAGTGCTAGACGAACACAAAAGGAAAGGGAGGGGATTAAAACACAGCAGGCTGGGATGGTCACGCAGGGAAATACAGGGGCTTATGTTTAGAAAGGATCTCTTACTTGTAAAAATCATTTTAGCATCCACAGCAACTTAGAGCAATGGAATACACACAATTGATGGGTGAGCAACTCTTATTGGTCAATGAAGGAGGAGGATGTGCTTTAAGGTCTGTCAGCTGCAGTCAGCAGGTTCTAAAGTAGTGACATGTGCCAGGTGCTCAACCCATTCTTCCGCTCCCAATGTGACATGGATGAAGAAACTTCCTTTCATCCTTAGTCAAGTATACCCACCTTCTTAGTACTACTCCAGACACTTATTCCTACTTTTATTAAATATTTAGAACACGTAGTCTATACCATTTGGACAAGCCTGTAAAATATCTTTGCTGGCAGCATTTCAGATGCCTCCCCCAAGAAGATTATGTTTCGATGTTGTGTACACAAACAATACTTGTTCAAGTATTTTTAAAAATACACTCGGATAATTTCACAATATACAAGATTTGCAAAATTTTGTTTCTGAATAAAAGCCAAAATAAGCCCCAAAGAAAAAAGCAATCTGCATCCAAATATTTATAGGTGCTATTTTTAAACAAAGCAAAAATTGTGACTAACAAAAGAAGGACGCCTAAATAAAATAGGGGAGATTTTAAACTATGAAAAATGATAAATACAGGCATTAGGCCAATTAATAAAGTTCCAACTGATTAAGGTGAAGAAAAACAGAGGTGTGTAGGCTTAACTAATGACCTAAAAACATGCATGTATATATGTGTACACATGTATTTAGATCAGAAAGCAATTGGAGTTATCTAAGTATTTAGTTGAATAGTATTTAGGCTCTTTTATTCCTGTAAATTGTCATACATTTCCATTTTGAGGATATACATTTAATATAAAGCCACATTTAATAGTTGTGTAACATTCACTTATCCAAATAAATCAAATTAGTAAAATAAAGACACTTTGTCCACTTTGTAATGCAGCAAACAGGGTGAATTATGCTCTAGACATGTGGATGCTTTTCCTCAAGGATTATAAAATCAGCCAAAGAGACAGTGCTGAAGATAAGCCAAAAAGTTTTTTATGTGTAGGGAATTTTAGTTGTTTTTTTCATATCTGCTTAGTACCCTAAAGAACAGACTAAAACTCTCAGTACGAGATTATGGGCTGACAGTCTGGCTTAATCTGACTTCACTGATCACTGTGAAATAAAGAACTGATGGCTCCTATCACCAACATCCAATTCAATATTCCCACTGTTAATGTTTTTCAAACTAAAAAGGAAAACACATAACATCCGGGATAAAGAAAAGAATACAATCTGAGATACATAAAAGTATTCAGAGATGAAGGCCCGGCTGCCATTAAAGGCGGTCCCCCATCCCCATCAGGACTGTATCGGCAGAGACTTAAAAGGTACGCAGTGGTCCTGTCTCTAATGTGAGCCTCATAAAAGCCTTTCAAAAATTTATTTTAACCAAGAATACAAATTAATAGCTTTTTAATGGCTAGGATTCACTTACGAAAAACTAAACTAGAAATGAAATTTCTACAACCAAAAATGCAGGTCAGTAAATTAACAACAGGAAAACATTTGGGAGAAATCACTATGGTTACCTTTTCAAAACTGGACCAACAAACCCCAACTTACTGTGCTGATTAATAAGCATGCGGAACGAGATGCGGTTGGTATAAAACCGATCCAGAAAATATTGGATGTTAGTGCTAATGAAAGGATCAAACCCAAACTTCTCCTTGTATTCAATCACTCCTTGCGCCATTGTAGGAACCACATCATTGTGTCTATTTCTGACTTTAATCAGAACTTGTAGAAAGCTGTGTGAGAGGGAAACAAAACGTGGTCAGTCTTAGTATCTCATGGGCTGATGCAGACTTCCCAGTTCTGTCCCCAGACTAGTTGTCTGCTGGTATTTTTATAAGTAAAGACATTATTCTTACTACATACAACAAGGAACCACTCACAAGAAACTAAAAGTATGAGCCAAGTTTTTGCTTGCAACTGTATTTCTACAGAAACTCTTCTTTCAGAGGTGCAAAAAGTAAAAGGTTCTAGTACAGAAAAAAAATGCTCAAATACCCTTTTAGGAATCCACTGACTTTTTGGATAAGTGATTACATATAAATACAGGTTCTATAAAAGTTGAATAAAGAATTGCAGAACATATCAGTATTTCTTCTGAGAACATGAGGACAATCCCCCAAAATCTCCAAGGATTGATTAATGGAATCTCAAAGCAATAGCTTCCATGAATAAAGAAATAATGTCACACTGTTTTTTGGGTTTTGTTTGTTTGTTTGACGGAGTCTCACTCTGTCGCCCAGGCTGGAGTCCAGTGGTGCGATCTCGGTTCACTGCAACCTCCGCCTCCCGGGTTCAAGCAATTCTTCTACCTCAGCCTCCCGAGTAGCTGAGACTACAGGTGGACGCCACCATGCCTGGCTAATTTTCATATTTTTAGTAGAGACGGGATTTCACCATATTGGCCAGACTGGTCTTGAACTCCTGACCTCGTGATCCGCCCGCCTTGGCCTCCCGAAGTGTCTCATACACACAATTTAAGAGTAAAATTTGGAAATAAATATCTTGCAGCAGTAAAATATAGTGATGAAATGCAGATAGAACACAGGCAATTCAACTATTCAAATATCTGGCTTATTATTGTAAATATGCATAGGGGAAAATACATTAAGAATGGTAGAAGACAAGTCAGTCGATAGAACTAAACAAAAAGTTTAGAACTAGGCTCATGAGTGAGTATGTATATATAAAAATTGAGCATATTGAGAAAGTGACATTGCAAATCAGTAGGTAAACAATCAAACTAATAATCAAGTTAACTGGAACAGTGGGCTAACAATTTAAGTCACATCCTAATTTCAAGACTTAAACCAAATACTGGATTAAAAATGTAAAAGGGTGAAATCACAGAAATGATAACAGAAAAATCAGGTGAATAAGTATATAATCTTGGGATAAGGAGGGCTGTTCTAAGCTTAATACCAAAGGTAGAAACAAATGATATGACTATGTACAATTTTAGCAATCCTATAGGGACACACATTAATAAATTAAGTGGAAAAAAAAAAAAACCTTAAGAAAAGGAAAAAACTAGCACCCCATCAGAAAACTAGGCAAAGGATCTGCTATCAATGCAAAATTTACCAAAGAAGAAGCACAAATGCCAATAACTTCACCCTTACAAATAAGAAAAGCAAATTAAAACAAACGTGATACTTATTATTCTCCATGTATCAGCATCAGTTAGAGTTTGGGGCTTAACTGAGGCACTTCTCAGGACAATTAACAACATATAGCAAAAGCCCAAAGAAAATAATTCCACTTCCAGGAATTGATCCTAGGAAAATAACTGGACAAGGTGAACAGCTGTTTGTGTGTTTATTTATTTATTTATGAGACAGAGTCTTGCTCTGTTGCCCAGGCTAGAGTGCAGTGGCACAATCTTGGCTCACTGCAACCTCTGCCTCCCGGGTTCCGGCAATTCTCCTGCAGCCTCCCAAGTACCTGGGATTACAGGTGCCCGCCATCATGCCTGGCTAATTTTCATATTTTTAGTAGAGACAGGGTTTCACCATGTTGCCCAGGCTGGTCTCAAACTCCTGGCCTCAGGTGATCTGACCACCTTGGCCTCCCAAAGTGCTGGGATTACAGGCGTGAGCCACCGTGCCCGGCCAACAGATGTATTTAAAAGTTGTTCTTTAAAGCATTGTTTACAGTAGCACGAAAACTACAAACCAGTCTAAAATCCAGTGATAGACGATCAAATTGCATGAACTATCTGAAGATGGACTATTAACATGAATATTATGACACTATTAATAATGGCGTAGATCTACAATGTTGACACTTGTTATGTTTGTAAAAATATTTTACACATATAAATATATGCATGCCTAGGGAAAAGCATGGAAGAAAGGAAAATAGTAATAGTTGTTGTCCCCTGGTAGTAGAAATTGGGGTGGCTTTTTTTTTTTACTTATCTGAATAGTCTTATTTTTCTGAATGATGAAATATTTCTGAAACAAATACATACATACAATGACAATAAAGATGTAAAACTCTGAAATTAGGCCATGATTATTCACAAAAAATTTTATAATGGACAATTTGTCCTTTAATACTCATTGCAATGTATTTGTAAGTTAAATATTACTAAAGTGAAACGATTCATTATAGTAGAGAAGTGCCTCAACTTATCTGAAGTGGGGAGACTTACCTCAATGGCTCAATGCTCAGAATTCTCCTCTAATCTTCCGGGCTCTTCTAAACTCTATCATAAACGATCAACATGCTTGTCTTCTAAGCTACTTTTGCTTTACTAAAATGATTTCCCTGCTGGTGATCCCATACAACCTCTTGGTAAACAGAAAAGGCTGCTACCATGGTACTCGCTCACCTTTCACTCCTTCCTTCACCAAGAACATCATACTTCTCGAATGCCAACTATCGTAACTAGCTACATGAACCTAGGCAAGTTACAAAACTCACGGAGTGAGAGCTCAGCTATTATTGCGATGGTCAAGCACACACTGGATTAAGCACTGACAGTTTGCAAAGCAGGCTCATGACCATAAATCGCATCTGATAACCTGTTCCAGAAACTGAGACGGGACTCCAGGAAAAACACAGCAGAAATTTAATATCATGTATAGTCGTCTCTCAGTATCTGTAGGGGACTGGTTCCAGGATCCCCGAAGATACCCAGATCCTCAGATGCTCAAGTCCCTTGTCTAAAACAGTGTATACAGCCTACTCACATTCTCTCTGATACTTTAAATCATTTCTAGACTAGTTATAATACCTGATACAATCTAAATATGATTTAAACAGTTGTTAAACTGTATTTTAAAAATCTGTATTATTTCTTATTGTTGCATTGTTATTTTTTAATTGCTTTTTTTTTTTTTCCCTGAATATCTTTTCGATCTGCGGCTGGTTGAATCCAAGGATGTGGAACCTGCCAATACAAAGGACCAACTATACTTCTACAAATCTGTTCTAAAATCTGGAGCTAGAGTGGTCAGCCCTAGGTTTTCCGATTTCCACCAAATGATTACCAGCTAACGACTTTTGAGAAAACAAAGCTCCTGGATTGAATTCATTTAATACTGATCGCTTAAATGACAGCAGTGGCTTATATCAAGGAAAACGCTACATCTGGGGCTCTAACCCAATGCTTCCCCGCCTTCCACATTTCACAGATCTATTAGACAAAACACCCAACAAAGTATAAAATAGGTGAGGGCTTTTGTTTTTCCTTTGAATTTTAGTTTACAACTAGACTAGAACTAGCTACTCATGGCTCAAACGAAAACATAACTTATAGGTCCAGCTTTGCTATGAATGGTCACAATCTTGGGCAAGTCACTTCACATCTCTGACCTCAGTTTCCTTATCTGTGGATTGAGAGGACTGGGTTAAATACCTCCTAAGGTTGCTTGTATAACATGGTATTTTCCTAGTTCTTCTTATGGAACATCTATTAAGTCAGGTGTTCAGTCTCACAACTATGTGGACTAGTTTATACTTAGAAATTCCTCAGTACAACAGGCCTACCATATGCATCCACTCACATATACATGAAACAGGAAGAGATTAATGTGAAAGGGATATTTAATTTCTCTTGGAGGGGAAAACATAGTCACAGCTAGAGTTAGTGTTCCTGGGATAAATAAAAATGAGAAACAGAAATATCTCATCGGCATAATTTGCCAGTCTATGCATAATGGGAGCAATACAATAGAATTCAGGTTGCTATATAAAAAACGTACTCTTTTATGCCTCTCCAAAACAAAACCACTACAGTTTTTGAGCTCAAATGTAATATCCTGTTGAAATTTTTTTTTTAATTGTAAAGGATTGAGTAGATAAATTCATGTATATACAAAGGCCACTGCATTCTTAAAACTACCACTAGATGGAACATTTACTGCAGTATTCATAGTGAGTGCCCAGTTCACCTTGGGTAAAGGTATTAAGAATTAGATCAGAAAAGCAAAACTGAAAGTGTCATTATTACTTTTGTATTGTGTTACATTCTTAACTCGAATTAAAAAAAAAACTCAATGTTGAGTCATTACTCATTAAGAAAATGAATGCTTTTGTCCACATCATACTCCTTGAGTCTTAATGACTTGAATTACATTTACCAAAATCTTTCTTATCTAGATATTTTTACTTTCAGGTAAGTGGTACCATACTTACTTATCCAAGACCTGTGGATCCTCAGGGCTCTTATTTTCATATTCTAAAAGTTCAAGAAAACTCTGCATATACCTAAAATGAAAAAAAAAAGAAAAAGAAGAGTTACTGTGTTAGTTGCCTGCCCAGCATCTACCCCTCCTCTCCCTCTTCCTAAGAACACTCCAAATTTTCACTCAGGTCTCCATCCCATCCCCATCCCCCATGTGGCTCAAGTGTATCAGGGAAGCCGGTGCCTCCAAAGATCCTGCGTGGTCCCATTCTTCTCTGGGCAATCCTATTTCTCTTGCCACTAATTATTCATTAGCCCAATAGTTTAGGTCTAAGTCTATCACTGTGTGCATTCTCCTGAACACAGGGAATGGCTCAGGAAGGGACATACTGTCTCAATTCAGGCTAGTAAAATGACAGAAAAGACTCGCTGGAGGACTCTGGCAGAGAAACCAACCTGCTCTGCTTTTGTACAGTGTGCTGTGTGGATTGGAAGCCAGGAACTGCTGCAGCTATTCTGCCACCAGGAGGGAATCCAGTCTGAAAACGAAGCCAACGCCATCGAAAGCAGGGCCTCAACAGCTTCGTGAATCTCTGAATCAAACCAACACCAAAAGCTTACCCTACGGCTGGACCTTCTAGTGACATGAGCCAGGTTCAGTTTCATTTTCTCTACATACAGACGGACACATCCTAACTTATGTATCAAGTCTATAGGTTGATTACCAAAAATGTACATACATATTTTAAGAAGCACATGTGTGACGCTGAAGTGCCTGCCAAGAACTTAGAAACTAGACATGAAGAAGTTAAATTAATTTCATCAATACTTAATGGGGGAGGAAGAATGCCAATTAAACCCTCAGAAACAGCTTCTGGATTAAGAATATCTCCATATCTCAATCAGGGCCAGTATAAGAAACAGTCTGTCCAACATTAAGATCTGGAGAACATAGAAAAATGACATCCAGAGAGGCCCATTAGTGCAGTAGCTATATCAAGCCAGGATCTGTTGGATCTGGTGGAGATTCAGATATTCCAATTAGAGATATGTGATCTCTATTTGGGGTTTTAACATGTTCTGAAAGAATTATCCCTTTATTCTAATTATTTCTAACCATTAACTGCCACTAATCCTATTATCTACACCTTTGGATAGAGGATGAGGATACTCCAATAACTAAAAATGACTGTTACACATATAAATACTCCAATGAGAATGCCACTTGATTCATCAGCCTCATGTGAACTTTGGACAATGCATTTGATACTAATGAATGTTCATCACTGGACATATTTTTTAAAAGTCTCTGGAAACCAGGCGTGTTAGCTCATGCCTGTAATCCCAGCACTTTGGGAGGCTGAGGCGGATGGATCACTTGAGGCCAGGAGTTCAAGACCAGCCTGGCCAACATGGCGAAACCCCATCTCTACTAAAAATACAAAAAATTAGCTGGGCATGGTGGCACATGCCTGTCTGTAGTCCCAACTACTCGGGAGGCTGAGGCAGGAGAATCGCTTAAACCCAAGAGGCAGAGGTTGCGGTGAGCCGAGGTTGTGCCACTGCGCTCCAGTCTGGGAAACTGAGCAAGACTCCATCTCAAAAAAAGAAAAATAAATAAATAAATAAAAGTCTCTGGGCACATAAGGCTATGGATTAGATATTGCTAAAATCACTGGGTCAAAACACCAAGAGGTCAAAGCCAGCCAGCCCCAGTGATGCCCTCTGCCCTGCCACACGCAAGCAAGCTAGGTAGGCATCCTGTCCTTTCCAGAAGGGACAGTTGAAGAAAGTCTTAAATAGAAGGGAGCCAAAGATTATTCTGAGGTTCCCAGCCTGACAGTCAAGAGAGCAAGGAGGACATACTGTGACCAAGGGGACAGTGGTGGGGTTCACAGCCCATTATGCATAATATTCATTTTTAAAAGGAAAAAATGGCAGGGAAACACAATGCATGATCCTGAAGTGGATTCCTAAATCAGGAGGAGAAATTGCAAAAAAAAAAAAAAAAAAAAAAAAAAAAGATGTGGGTAGTATCACAACAGTTAGTAAAGCGAGAACAAGTTCTACATATTAGAAGACATTACTGTATCAATGTTAAATTTCCCGAATTTGATGACCACATTGTGGTTTTCTAAGACCTGTTCCAATGAAATACATGCTAAAGTATTCACGGCAGAGGGGCATGATGTAGACATCGTGTATGTGTACCATATATGGGTCTGTGTGCCATATATAGACATAGACATATATATGTGTGTGCGCGCACATGTGTGTGTGTGTGTGTGTGTGTATGCAGAGAGTGAGACAGAAAGAAAGAATATGAATGACAATGGTAGAACGTGGTCAAATGTTAACAATGTTCACAATTAGTGAATCTACGTGACAGTATACGGGAATTCTTTCTACCAGTTTTGCAACCCTTCTGTTAAGTAGGAAAGTATTTCAAAATAGAATGTTTAAGAAACAAGAAAGAAGAAATGGCATGCATTTGTTTGGAATGGATGTGGAAAAGGAAGAGTTAAAAGACAAAAACCAAACAACGGAGTTGACATAGCAATTTGTTCGAGCCTATACTTTGCCGGTATCATATAATACATTTAAGTACATTTGGTCTTTGTCCCTGCTTCCTGGCACAGAGCTCCCAAAACCCTTGGAACTTTCTGAGTGACAGGAGTGTCTTCTGCTATCCATAAAGAGCCCCCTTTGACCACACCTGAGTTCATGCTAATGTGGTGACTTAGGATGGGATCTCTAGATAGCCTCAGGATGGGGCTGGTCACCAGAAAGGCCAAGCGATTCGAGGACTAACTTTCAGCTCTATTCTCAACTTCTGGGGAGGGGAGAGGGCTGGAGATTGAGCTCTATCAAAACCCTTGAACAACCATCAGAGTTTCCAGGTTGGTGAACATATGGGGGTACTGGGAGGGTGGTGTGCCCAGAGCGGACATGGAAGCTCCATGCGGCCTCCCATACCTTGCCCTATGCATCTCTCCCATGTGGCTGTTCCCGAATTGTACCCTTTCTAATAAACCTATAAACATAGGTAAAGTATTTTCCTGAGTTCTGTGAGCCGTTCCAGCAAATTATCAAATCTGAGAGAAGGGGTGTGGAAATTCAATGTCCAGCCACTCAGTCAGAGGCACGGGTGGCCCAGGACTTGTGACTGGTGTCTGCAGTAGGGGAGATTCTTGTGGGGCTGAGCTGTAAAGCTGTGGAGTGTGCCCTGACTCCAAGTAGGTAGTGTCAGGATTGAACTGAATTGCTGAACCCAGTTGCTGTCCAGAGACTCGGAATTGGTTGTTGATGTTGGAAAACAACACGAAAGAGCCCAGCAATTCACTTTGAAGCCCCTGACCCAGCCTGTACATAAGCAATAGTAAATGTTTAACTGTCACCACCACCAGGATCAGGGGACTTGATCCTGCCTACCTAGAATCCCCACCACAGTGGCCTCTAATTGGGATTTTATACCTTCTACTGGAAAATCTCTAATGATGGCCTTGAAGCAATAAAGAAGTCTCGTGCAAACAAGAACTTGCTGCTCTTTCTGAAACAAGCTATGGAACCAGAGCAGGATGCAAGGAACTATATGACATCAAAGCCACAGTCACAGTCTCTTTCATTTCTCCTGCATTCCAAAGACTGCACGTCACACAGTGAGAAGCTGCTGCTTGTCTGGAAAAGAGACTTGACACTGTATCTCTGAGACCACCTAATATAGTGTGTCTCAGACAATTCATTTTAACCCTATGAATTTATTATAATTAATACTATGGAGGAATGACTATTGAATGTCCATTCTCTTTCAGTAGCCTGGCCTCCACTAACCCTCTAGATGCGAGCTAATTAGTAGTTCCACTCCTTACATCTGTCCACGCCATTCCCTTCTAAAATGCTCTCCCTGTCACCTGCAATCTGTCAGTTCCACCCACCCACCAAGGGGCAGTGCGGAACGACAGCTTGCATTTCTGTCCGTTTCTCTCTGCTCCCACAGCACTGTGCTTGCTTGAGAGGACTGATGGCATCTGACCTCCCCAACTCCTCCAACTTTCTTCACAGTGACTTCTACTTGCATTTATTTATTTATTTATTTATTTATTATTTTTGAGATGGAGTTTTACTCTGTTGCCCAGGCTGGAGAGTACAGTGGCGTGATCTTATCTCACTGCAATCTCCACCTCCCAGGTTCAAGTGATTCTCTTGCCTCAGCCTCCTGAGTAGCTGGGATTACAGACGCATGCCACCATGCCTGGCTAATTTTTGTATTTTTAGTAGAGATGAGGTTTCACCATGTTGGCCAGGCTGGTCTCAAACTCCTGACCTCAAGTGATCCACCTGCCTCAGCCTCCCAAAGTGCTGGGATTACAGGTGTGAGCCACCACACCCGGCCTCTACCTTGCTTTTAAAACACAGAGTAGACCTGCAAATGTTTCTCAAACACTGTATATGCAAATCCCTTTCTAAAAACACACCACTTGCTCTTACATCCTACCATTCATTGATCTCACCCTGCTTACCTAGCGGGTAACTTTGCGTCACAAATTCAACGTCTTCAGTTAAATGACATATGCTTCAAGCATCAGAGCTATAACTGATTTAAGTTTACGTTATACTCTGTCAAAATTTTCCCTACTTTTCATGGAGCAAATGAAGCACAGCAGGGAACTGATATTTTTCCAATCTGAGGTTCCCCTTTAAATGACTTAATTTGTTCTACAAGAAGCACTGACTTCAAGGAATGTCTTTACAAGGAAAACAAAAGGAGTAAGGTTAAGACTTGATAAAAGCAGCAGATGCCCTGTCAGAAAAAGTGCAATCCCACCACACACAAGAAAAACTCAAGAAAGTGTCTAGTATAATTTACAAGCATTTTAATTAAAACAACTTTAAAACAAACAGCACATAAAGAAAAAAAAAAAAAAACTTTTAATTGCATGGAAAATCCAGCTATCCCAAATGACTCATTCCCCAGATGGGCAGTATGTGCACTTTTACAGAGAATGGTCCCGCTGCCAAATGTTCACAGCATTGTGGGAAGATCCATTTTAAGCCACATTGTTTACTTACCAACTCTGAACCAATCCCACTGAAGGGCGGTTAAGTAAATTATCCGGCAGAAGATTAACTTCTCTCATTGTGTTAGCCAGCCGCACAGGAAGTTCCTTTCGTAGAAACATATATGAAGTTTTCTCACATGCATTATCTCTCCCTATTAAGACATGAAAAATGTTCCATGATTTTATAGTCTAACAGATGGAGAAATAAAGTGCTCCCATGGTAGCACGGTTAGTACTGGTTGGAAAGAGAAAATTAAATAATCCTGCAGTCTCTAGTTGAATTTTTATCCTTTGAAATAGCAAGTTGAAGAAAATAATTTAATTAGCAGAGAAAAAGAACATTCATTACAAGAGGCAACCTTGAAAGCAGTTTTGTTTGTTTTTTTTTTTTCTTAACACAAAAACGTTCCTAGCATTACCAGCGGCAATATAAAAGTGACCTGGGATATAATCTGAACTTGTTTTCAAATAAATACCGTGGGAAAACTGCCAAGTACAAAAGTAACAGAACATGTAAATCCACTCCCGTTCATAGGGCTTTCCAGGAGGCAACGGATCCATTCATTTCACAAATATTCACCTACTGTGTGTGCCAACTGTTTCCTAAGATTTTCCTACAGTGTGTTTCTTCAGGGACCATAGCTCTGCCCCTCTGGGAAGTAGCCACAGACCCCAGAGACCCTGTGATTCCAGAGGAGAGGCTCTGACTGAGACACAGGGCTGGCATGTGCCAGAGAAACATGCCAGAGAAACTATCTCCTGGGTGTACTCAGAGGCAGAGGGATCTACTGTGCCACATCTCGACTCACTGTAACCATAAGGAAGGAGGTCAGTGCCTTCTGGAGGCTTCCCTGAACTGGCTGTGCATAAAATTTACATAAACAAGATGCCATGAGAGGAAACATACCTGGCCACTTAAAAGAGGAAACCTGAGCTCCTTCCTCTGCTGTCATGTGGCAAGAAGAGTTCTAGCATCAGCCTGGCCTGCAACCCCCAGCCCTGCTGGAAACTCCATGGTGGCTGGTGGTGGAGGGCCTGATAGAAAAGGCATGAGCTTTGGAGACACAAATGTCCTCCAGCCCCAATTCCTCCATATGCAGGTTGTGAAAACTTTGGTAAGCTTCTTCACTTCTGAGTCTCAGCTGCCTTAATCTGTAAAACGGGGATAAAGCTAGTTTGTGTAAGGACTAAATGTGATACCGTGCATGGAGGATGACACGGAGCAAGTGTTGGACAAACACTGGTCCTCCTGGTCTCCGTGGTATTGAGGAGTCCATCCCATCTCCCTCGCCCTGCCTAGGCCTCTTTGCTGTTCCATATTCCCTGGAAGCTGCACAGAAATGGGCAACATCGTGGCCAGGCCCAGAGAGAGATGAGCAGAGCTCATTTAACAATTTTCTCTACCAAACTCTCCTTATTCTTCTGTAGGTCATGAAGGCAGCAAGTCAGAGATTCAGAAGTAAATCCAATTTTCTAACACTTCCAGTCACATTCTGGTTTATTCATTTGCTCTCCCTACCAAATAAAACTTGAAAAAAAGAACCTAGTCTAGAAAGTCATCTGCAGAACCTTTCTTCCCCACTCATCCCTGACCCACTTCTCCATTCTCAAAAAAGTTACAATAAAAGATGAAAGTCTGAAATAATCCATTCCTCATTTCCCTCATCCTAAGTGAGTATATGGAAGGCCTTTGGTAAATCTTTTAACTAATTGATGATTCACTTTTCTCCTTTGTACTTTCACTGTGATAAAGACCTTAATCCCCAAATACCCACTTCAAGTAAGAGGGGAAGGGGTGAAATGCCCCCGCAATGACCTTCCAACATCTATTCTATACACATTCATTTGGCCTTAGGCAATTAACATTTAAAATGACTCTGGTCTTTTTTTTTTTTTAGACGGAGTGTTGTTCTGTCACCCAGGCTGGAGTGCAATGGCACGATCTCGACTCACTGTAACCTCTGCCTCCTGGGTTCAAGCGATTCTCCTGCCTCAGCCTCCCAAATAGCTGGGACTACAGGCGCCCACCACCACGCCTGGGCTAATTTTTTGTATTTTTAGTAGAGACGGGGTTTCACCATGTTAGCCAGGATGGTCTCGATCTCCTGGCCTTGTGATCCACCCGCCTCGGCCTCCCAAAGTGCTGGGATTACAGGCGTGAGCCACCACATCCAACTAGCTCTGGTCATTTTGCTTCAAATAATATAGAGACAGTCCCCAACTTAAAACAGTTCAATTTATGATTTCTTGATTGTTTAATCTTCTGACTTTATGATGGGTTTATCTAATTATTAAGTGCTTTTTTGTTTTGAGACAGAGTCTCACTCTGTCACCCAGGTTGGAGTGCAGTGGCACAATCTCCACTCACTGCAACCTCCACCCACTGGGTTCAAGCGATTCTCGTGCCTCAGCCTCCCAAGTAGCTGGGATGACAGGCGCCCATCACAATGCTCGGCTAGTTTTTGTGTTTTCAGTAGAGATAGGGTTTCATCATGTTGGCCAGGCTGTTCTCGAACTCCTGACCTCAAGTGATCCACCCATCTTGGCCTCCCAAAGTGCTGGCATTACAGGCATGAGCCACCATGCCTGGCCAAGTGCATTTTTCAGTTACAATATTTTTGACTTATGATGTATTCATCAGGATGTAACCCCACTGTAAGTCAAGGAGCATCCGTATATTATTCCTAAAAGGTTCTGTATGAATATAACTTTAACTTTAAATGCACTAAAAATGCTGCTATTTATCACAGTGAATCTCATTATAAAATGAATTCCCTATTATCTAAGTTAAAATATAAGTCTAGCTTTTCACATGCCGGGAGAAATACTTTGCATCCTGGTTAAACAGAAAGGAAATTCTCTTTAAATCACAAAAGAAACATTGATGTTCTCACTGTGGGATGACAAAGACTCTCTCCTTTGACCAAACTTGAACCAGGTTCTCCTGGGTTTGCTTATTTGTTTGTTTGTTTTTGGAGACAGGGTCTCACTCTGTCACCCAGGTTGCAGTGCAGTGGCACAATCACGGTTTACTACAGCCTCAACCTCCTGGGCTCAAGTGATTCCCCCACCTCAGCCTCCCAGGTAGCTGGGACACCTGGCTAATTTTTGTATTTTTAGTAAAGAGGGGGTTTTGCCATGTTGCCCAGGCCGGTCTCGAACTCCTGGGCTCAAGCGATCCTCCCATCTCAGCCTCCCAAAGTGCTGGGATTATAGGCGTGAGCCAGCGCATCTGGCTCTGAGTCTTCTTTTTGACTAGGCCTCGACTTTGGGTTCTATCTTGACCTGCTTAGTCCAGTCTTAGCAAAAATCCTGCTGAGTCATTTCAGTGAAAATCCCCTACCCTTGGTGTCTGATCCCCCTACCCTCGATATCTTATCACCCTGGCCTGCCTTCAACAAGAATCCCCTCCAACCTGGACTTTTCCTCTTAGTAACTTTCCACCCATTGACCCACACCCTGCTCCTTGGCTATAAATTTCCACTTGTCCTTGTTGCACTAGGAGATCAGCCTGATCTCTCCCCACTACTGAAAAACTCCCACTATAGGGGTCCCTCTTGAATAAAGCCTTCCCTACCATCTTTAACAAGTATCAGATAATTTTTTTTCTTTTCTTTTTCTTTCCTTTTTTTTTTTTTTTTTGGAGACAGGGTCTCACTCTGTCACCCAGGCTGGAGTGTGATGGTGCGATCTTGGCTCACTGGAAGCTCCGCCTCCCGGGTTCAAGCAATTCTCCCTGCCTCAGCCTCTGGAATAGCTGGGATTAGAGGCGTCCACCACCACGCCCAGCTAATTTTTGTATTTTTAGTAGAGACAGGGTTTCACCATGTTGGCCAGGCTGGTCTTGAACTCCTGACCTCAGGTGATCTGCCCGCCTTGGCCTCTCAAACTGTTGGGATTACAGGCATGAGCCACCACGCCTAGCCAATTTTTTTTTTTTCTTTAACAGGAAAAAGGAAGTTCTGGAATAGGGAAGAAGTAGAAGAATTCTGGTGTTAAACTGAAACTGGGAGTATCAGTATGAACTAATAATTTTTTCACAATTATGAGTTTTTGGGGGTAATGAAAGTATACATGTTTAAATTTCCAAGTTGGCAGCCTGTTAGGAGCCACAGGATACAAGCATGTCGTGAGCAGTGAGAGCTGGCTGGCAGGCGTGAGGTGGCCGCAGTCAGGTTCTCATCTCTTCTCTGAAAGTTGCAGATCTAGATGGTTTCAGAATTTAAAGGTTTTCCAATTTTAGGAAGGTAAAAAGGAGTCTATACCATACATTGTACAATACAGAGTATTAGAGAGCCACAACATAGCTGCAGTGAAATACATGAACATCTCCAGTAAGTACGATAAAGACTATGTAATCAAGTCAGTTCAGGTCTGGTTTTGCTAGAAAATGAGTTCTGGCAGCAAATATATGAAAAAGAAATTCAATTTTCAGTTTTTTGGAGTTCAGGATTCAGAGAAAAGCCTATGGTCCTGTGGGCTGGTGATGACAAAGGTCAGGTGCTGAAGTTTGATTGGGGTTTGAATCTTGACTAGAGCATTCACAAGCTTCATGAGCAGGGGTAAGTTTCTTTACACTTCTAAACTTCATTATAACCACCTATAAAATAAGAACAGTATCTACGTCACAGAGATTTGGTGAGGGTTAAAATGTGCTTAACATTTAAACCAGAGGCAGTGGCTCACGCATGTAATCCTAGCTACTTGGGAGGCTGAGATGGGCAGATCACTTGAGGCCGGGAGTTTGAGACCAGCCTGGGCAATGTAGCAAGACCCCCATCTCCATAAATAAAAATTTAATAAACCACAATATTTAACAGTCACATATTCTTAAAACTTAGAAAAGAGGCTAATTAAATAGAAATCACTAATGATGCTGATGATACTCAAACAGAATAGTCTGAGGCCATGGGATACACAATCGAATTGTCAGTTACTGCTAGCCCTGAGAACCCACTCCCTGGGTTCATCTGATGATTCTGCAATAATTAAAACTCAACTACTAGGCATGGTCTTAGAGAACCAAATTTCAGGAAGCATTTTCTTCAAGCTTCCTTGGATTATCAGTCTGTTATAAAACTCATGTGGAAAGAAACTTTTATCTGTCTCTGTATCCCTCATAGCACATATTATAGTGCCTCGCCTATGGTAG